GGTGATATAGACATATTCCCGTGTGCCTGTGACAGGTGATATAGACAGACATATTCCCGTGTGCCTGTGACAGGTGATATAGACAGACATATTCCCATGTACCTGTGACAAGTGATATAGACATATTCCCGAGTCACTGCCCTAGCTTTCCCAGTGGTAACATTCTAGCAAGATGATGTCAGCAGAGTACGGGCATCAATTAAAACCCTGCTCGCCTTCAGGTTTGGCTGTTTTTAATTTCCTTCTTTTCTCCCCCCACCCCACTCCTCTGTTCCCAACTTTTGTGGCTCTTGTCTGTTCCTCCTTAAACATCTTTCCATGTCTACAATAATACTTTGAGTTGACAACATGCCCTCAGAGGAATGCACAGGGGCTGACGAGGAAGGCTCATCTGATCCGTTCCCAATGTAATGTGTAGCAAGACCTCCACCCATTTTGGTGTATTTGTGTATTTGAATGCTGGATTGTTAATTCTTTGATTGCCTAGTTTCAAAGTTGGGATTTTACATTTGTAATAATAGGTACTAGATGATCAGGCCTATGGATTTATACTTAAATGTGTATTTTAAACTTTCAATCTTTATAGATGAAGAGTTTTTGAAGGAAAAAAAAAAGAAATGCTGTTGAGAACTGTTCTTTGCCATTCAATTTTCTTGAATTTATTGAATTGCTAACATACTGATTATACATTTAATTTCTTGAGCATAAAGGTCTAATTTCTTTAGCTTAATTTTATGATTAACAGAAATATACTTTTCTAAAGGAAACTGTAGCATTCCTGATGCCAAATTCCCCGTGTTGTTCTCTGTCGTCTTCTGAGAAGTAGAACTGCTCTTATCTGCTTGGCCTCTTCCCAGAAACTGTCTTACAGAATGCATTTGTAATGAGATGATTTGTGGAGCTAAAATCCCCACAGAGAACACCACACATCACGTCTCCGCGTACCTCTCCCCGCTCTCAGTGTCTGCGCTGGAGACATCCCCACACGGGTGCCGAGGTCT